CGCAACCTGATGGGGTTCAAACCTACACTTCTTACATAACTCACAGAGCAGCAGAGAGCCCCCAGTGCTTGGGTGGGGAGACCCAAACATCCCAGTGCCAAGCCACGGGGCTTGCACAGGTCCCAGCATCTCCCAACTCTGAGAGCATCAGGCACCTTGGGCTCAAAGGAAGGAGCAGTTGGTGAATTTGGGTACTTAGGCAGGAGCTGAGCAGGTTTTAGAGGGTTTGGGATGACATTTTAGGACTGACATTTAATTAGAAATTTAACTTCAGAGTCTCTCATTAAAGCTAAGTCTAAAAATCCACTTTTAGAAGAAAATTTGTTGAGTAAGAGCTTGCACAGTATCATTCTTGCTGTATTGATACATGTGTAGGCTTCTTCCAACCTAGCATGGAGCTCTACAGAGACTAACGTGGAAAGTTTCTGCACTAACAGTTAACCTTATTATAGTCCTTATTATAGTTAAGAATCTATAGTGTTGTTTTTTGTTTGTTTGTTTTTTAAATAAAAATTAATAATTAGAAGGAAGAGAAGTTATTTTATTAAGCATGTACTGGAACTCACCATTTCCTATGTGTTTTTTTTTTTTTTCTTTTAACATACTGTGATTAAATGTACATGTTATTAGATTTAATATTTATTTTTTTGTTGTTACAAAATAAAAAGATTTTCTCTAGTCGGTCTCATGGTTATTTTCCCATTTGTATTAGAATATTTGAGCATTGCAATGGAAACATTTTTGTAGCTTATTAACTTATCATTTATGTGCAATGTGGTAAGTGAGGGAACAGATAAGGAATTATTTGTACTGCAATATTACTCCAGACCCTAAATTAAGAGGCACTGCATTTGATGGCATTTTAACATTTTTTGCTTTCTTCACATAGTTGTGAGATGAAAAATTCTGAAAATTTTAGTGAACGGTGCTGTGTCAAGCAAAGGGGATTTAGCTGCTTATTCATATCTGAAATTAGAATCACATTGTCATCTGGGTTGTTAGCTGTCCTTTAACAAGCCCAGGCAAAGTCTTCATTGAATCATATAAAGGGTAGAAGAAATGTGTAAGGTACTTCAAATAGCTTTTCTTGTTAGTGATGCAGCAAAGAACAGCTAATCTGTGTCTTGATAGTTCCCAACAATGATTCAGAGATAATGAGGCAAGAAGAAGCTGACTAATTACAAGAGACAACTAGCAGCAATATGTCATGCTTTTCCAGCCAGCGAGCCTGGCTGATGTTGTCGGTGCAGCACATATTTGCTTACCACGAAGTACAGCAAGGCACTGCACAACAAGGAAAGCAATCACTGGAGCCCTGCACCACAGGCAAAACAGCACCATGTCACGTGTAATCTCCTCGGACAGGTTGCTGGTGGGATGTTTTGCTCGGGTGGGCACTGTTTGCTGACCAGCACTCATGGGAGGCATTTGGGTGGTCACTGGGTGCCTCTGTCCTCCAGTGGTGGTCTGCCCCAGCTGCTCCAGCAAGGATTGCGTTTGGTTTTCTGATGCTTAGCATGCCCTGGTAGTTGATTTTTTAGGAATTACTGTAAAACGGAAATAGATGAGCTCAGAAAATGGGAGAGACTATACAGTTCCAACAGCTCTGCAGGTTTGAATACACCCATTCTGTAGCTTTAACACAAAACTCTCCACACCCTGCAGTTCGTATCATGACAGTCTCATTTCCTGGATTATATTCTCTGCATACTTTTACCATTTGAAGTGCTGTTTCAGCTTTGTATTTAAACTTCGCAAAATTTCAAGAATTTCTTTAAAAATCATAGTTCAGCTTTCCCTCTCTACCTTATTTGCTATGCTAAGAGTTTTGCCTATATAGTACAGCAAAAGGTTGTAAAATAAGAATATGTCTCAATGCACTCTAATCCATGCATGAAATCCCTATCAAATAATGCATCCTAAGGTCTGGCAAGCTACTTAAATGTATCTTTGACCTTTCTGGAAAGAGGATGAAAAAAGTGCAGATTTATGTTTAGTTTTATCTGCTCATTCACCACTGTTTTGTTCTTTCCTGTCTATTAGGAATTCCAATCAATATCTTGGTTGCCCCATTTGCAATAAATACTCTAGAAACTGACTGAATATCCAGGAAAGACAGATGGATATTTCGACAGTTACAGCTCAACACAATCTATGTGCATTTGTCATGCACCTGAGCAAACCTCACATTCCAGCTCCTCTGAGAAACCTCAGCTGATGATGTGAATCCTATCAGTGTAAATTTGTTACTTACGTGTAAAAATGGTGAAAACCAGAACTGCGTCCAAGTTGAACCCTGTGGTTCTTGGTGAATGGTGTCTTAGCCAGAAACTGTTAATATCCTCCTGATTATTCAGATGAATTGTCCTATTTCCTCTCTTCATTGATCCCTTTTGAACATGCTTTTCATGAAAAGAAGAGCTGGGCATTAGGCGGCGTGTTGCTGTGCACCACCACTGGGGAGCACAAGCCACAGAGGTGTTGTGCACCAGCAGAGTTATTTATTCTGCATTGGAGATACATTTCACAAACAAAAATATCATGGTAGGACTTTGAGGGAGGTAAAATTGCTCAAATTCTATATTTAGCTATTTCTGCTTTCCTCTCACAGTTCAGCTTGCAATAATGATGTGGTTACAGAGCTGCTTGAATAAGCTCTGTTCTTTCTTTGTTTAAAAACAAACAAACAAACAAACAAAAAAACTACAGAAAGTGTTTGTAGACCAAATGCTCTTTGCTGTTGCCTATCAGTACCAAAGCACTCAATTTCCAGCATGTAATTTCACTTCTGCAAATGTGCCCCAAAATAACTCTCCTCAGAAGTGTTAACCAAGAAGGGAAGCAATCTGACTTTCTCAAGCACTAAAAATAGGAAATCATAGCTGTAACTTTAACACCTTTTCAGCAGCTGCCCTCAGCAGCATCATCTGCAATTGACCATCGCCTACAATTCTGTAAAATGCACCCTCCAGCAGTGGCTCTGATGTACCTGTGGACGTGTGGGAACACAGAGAAAAAATTATTACAGCTGCTTCCATGACGTTGTCTCTGACACAGAAGATGGTGGTAGATCTAAACGCTGTTATTAGGTTTTAAACTTTTCATCCCATGGAAATTCTAGCTGCATAAAAGGACTGGGAGCAGTGAATATGAGCACAGTTCTAAAAAACATAACTGTCACGTAATCTAGGAAATGTTGAACTTCTCATGTTCACAGACCGTTTGTTGCTTAGTAGAATGTTAAAGTTTGCTGAACAAATCTGCACAAATTTGCATAAGTCATCTTCAGTTGTTCAAGCTTAGCTCTGAATCAGAGGGATGGAGCACCTCTCCTACAAAGACAGGCTGAGGGAACTGGGGCTCTTCAGCCTGGAGAAGAGAAGGCTCTGGGGAGACCTTACAGTGCCTAACGGGGCCTACAGGAAAGCTGGGGAGGGACTCTGTGTCAGGGGGTGCAGGGGATCAGGAAGGGTGGCTTTAAAATAAAAGCAGGTAGATTAGGTGATCTAGAAAGAGCTTCTCTACTCAGGGGGTGAGGCCCAGGCTGCCCAGAGGAGCTGTGGCTGCCCCATCCCCGGCAGTGCCCAAGGCCAGGCTGGATGGGGCTGGGGGCAGCCTGGGCTGGGGGGGGGGTGCCTGCCCATGGCAAGGGTGGGCACTGGGTGGGCTTTAAGGTCCCTTCCAACCCAAACCATTCTGGGATTCTATGATTTCTTAAAACTGATCTTCCCTGTACAATCATTCTCATGCCGAATAATCTTTCCCTTTGAAACCCGGAGGTTTCTCTGCATTATTTTTTTTTATGTAACTTCCATGAAGGCCTGTTGCTAAGCAGGAAACAGAATCAATAGAGAAGGCAAGCCACACCAGCTCACTTTGAATTGCTGTACGCTTTTCTCTTCTCATTCAATGCTTTTCTTCAGTTAATTTCTGATATGACTTTGTGGCTGGTATTTTGTATTTCAGCATATTTCTAGACTATAGGTCACCTCGACAGGAGAGAAAACTTGTGAGGAATCAGGATGGTTTGTTTAAATAGGGATCTGATCTGGTGGCTGTGCAGACAAGCTTGTGCTGTCTCATGAGAGCTCAACGCAGGGAGAGAGGCTGTGCTCAGGACAAAGCTTTGTCAAGGATGTGACCACTGGGGCCATGCTGACATGGTGGCCCCAGAATTGTGCTAGATTCTTCTCATCCACTAGGCCTTTGTCTGCTCGGCAGGCAAAGCACAGTCTAAAAGATGAAAGAAATAAAAGTGGAAAGAATTGAGAAGGCTTTTATTTATTTATTTATTTGTTTGTTTGTTTATTTATTTATATATTTATATATTTACTTATTTACTTATTTAAGTATTTAATTATTTACTTATCTATTTTGCCTCTTCAGCAACTAAAAGCAATCTTTAAACTTCCAATTCTGGAAACTTTTTTTTTTTTTTTTTTTTTTTTGATTTGGTAGTAGCTTCACTGCCCATTTCCCGTAAGTCTGGTTTCCCTGCACAACGCTATTTACTTGAAGTCTTAATTTGACCAGTGCTGTCATAGTGGAGTATTCTTCAATTAGCAGCCTCCTCAATTGAGGATTTGTCCGACAGCCCCAGGCATTTTCTGTCCAAAGCAGCTCTTAGATTACAGCCAGAAATGAAGAATCCACAACCCTTCTTGCCAGCAGCTGTGTTGTAACAAAACATTTACAGAAAAAAAGGCTGCTTCAACCTTCACGACCCTGCCATGAGACATCAGCTGAAGGATGATGGGTCGTAAGGCGAGGGCCAGTGTTTGCAGGCTGCAAGTGCTTGCTTTCGGGGCTGCATTACTGTGTGCAGCTCTGGCTTGATCCATTTTAATGACTGTTTTACAAGGCATGGAAAATGGTGAGGATTTTCAGAAGCTCCTCTGGGAGAGATGGATAGAAAAAGATCGTAGAGAGAAAAGAGGCACTTAGAATGAGTGTGTGAACTGATCTATGTAAGAAAAGAAACACAATGGTGAGCAGAGACACTTAGTGCAAGCGTATTTTATTAGGCTGAATTGCTTCACATTCTGGACTTCTTTCTGCAGCTACAGAAAGGATGAAGAGATGTGACACGCTGAAGCACATATAAATGAAATGAAAAGAGGTTGCATTCCCCTAAAAAGATGGATTTGATCCCACAGAGAGCAGCTGGAAGGAATCTGCTCCGAGAAGTGCGCATGTGAAGATGGGAAGGTCACAGTTCGTGGTCATCTTTGTCCTGGAAGCAGAAATAATGGACATAAATGGTAGAGATCACTCCTGTGAGACATTACTTTATAAACAAATACCCTTATGAAACAGACTTTGGAGACCTTTTAAGTACAAATTTAAGTGAGTGCATACATACCTATAAATTTAAATCATATACAGAGATATAAGTCCATGTCTGTACATGCACACACTTCTTTGTGTACAATACGCAGTTATTTCATATACATATACCTAACTCCAGTCTTCTTTGCTAAAAATCATCACACCAAACCAACGGGTTTCATTCAGTGAGGGAAATCATCACTTCCAACTTCATAAAGCAAGGAATTCAGCCACACAGAAACACAGAATCATAAAGGTTGGAAAAGACCTCCAAGACCATCTGGTCCAACCATACCCCTACAACTGATATCACCCACTAACCTTTGTCTTTATCACCACGTCCAAACTTTCCGTAACACCCGCAGGGATGGTGACTCCACCACCTCCTTGGCAAACCCATCCCAATGCCTGACTGCTCTTTCTGAGAAGACATGCCCGCTTTTAAGCTTAATTCAGGGTGCTGTAATGATCACACGCTACTTATTGTGCAGAAATCACAGTATTGGAATTGTGTGCACCCACACCCACAAACACACCCTTTTCTGTTTTTACAGTTAGTTGCATCTTAACTTGTGGATAAGATCCTAGATTAAAAAAAAATCTCCCTCTGGGTGCATGCTACAACAGGTTGTTAAGGGATGCTTAACAAGCAGCAGCAACAGGCAGGGTTTTGTGCCTGTCTCACCGGCACCCTATAGAGCAGGAGATGGGAGTGCTCTTGTTGCACAGTGCCTAGCTCTGTAGTGCCTCAGCTGCTGCCACTCAGTGTCCTCTCTGCCTTTCTGTGCACCCCAAAGGCACAGATGTTAGGCCCTACTCTCCTGTCCGCTACCCTCCTGAGCACAGAAGTGGCCTGCCCAAAGCCCGGTGCTCCAGGCAGCAGGTAGGTGCAGCAGGAGAGCAGCCTGGCCGAACAAGGAGCTCACAGGGCCCTAGCATGAAGCACAGGGATCTGGAAGCAGGGATGGGTTAGAAAGGAGGAATTTGGAAACATTGCCCAGGCATGTAGGAACGATGCTAGGAAAGCCAGCGCTCACTTCAAGATGTGACTTGCAAGGGGCGTCAATGGGCAGCAAAGACAGCTTCTAATGCTGTATTAGTAGGACATGGGTGAACAAGGCTATGCGGGACTGTTGGTGGGGCCAAAAGAAACTCAAATGGCTTCCTTCTCTCCCTAGGAAAATCATTTTTGTTTAGATCCTAGGCAAAGGCTAGCAACAGAAATGCAAGCTGTCAAACACTAATAAAGCATATCCTGCAGCTGGGAATACCAGAAATGAACGGGCACTTCACTCTCATGTAATGGCACACAGTACTGCTCCATCAAGTCATGCTTTAGTATTAACATGGGAAAAAGAAAGGGAAAGGGAAAGGGAAAGGGAAAGGGAAAGGGAAAGGGAAAGGGAAAGGGAAAGGGAAAGGGAAAGGGAAAGGGAAAACAAATTTGCTTCAATAATTTCCTAATTTCAAAAAAAAAAAGATCGAAGAGAAACTCAGTTCAGGATTTTAGGCAAGGGACTGTCCTGCAAGATCTTTAGTCCTGTAGCCAGAGCTGACCTGCTGATCAATAAGCCTTTCACAAGGGAAGCCAAAGGGCACAGGCATGGAGCTGTGTACTGATATTAGCTGTACCTTGTCCTCTGCAAGGCTGCAATATGCACGTTACCCAGGTAGGCAGTCCAGCATTGCTCTTGTCACGGATGCCTGTGCTGGATTGCTGACAGCTATACTCAAATTCCATCTGTGGCACTGGAAAGCACTGCTGCTGTCCAAAGAGCCCTCCCCACTACCTACCCTTCAGCTACTGCAGGGCACCAATCTTCTGTAGCATCCCGGGGAGCTGCTGATACAAATTCTGCAGATCAGAAAATCCTCCAATGCAGGTTGTCCCAATAAACACACGAGGAACCTGGACAGAAACAGCGATACAGATCAATCAGTAAAAAAGGCAACCACTGGGTCGCTAAAAGAGCAGAGCAGGGAGAGGACTTGTCGGGAAAGCAGAGTTCGTGATACAGAGACCATGATTTACAAAATCTCCCTTTTCTTCCCCCACCCCTGCTGGTCCCTTCTCAGCAAGCCTTGTATCTCCTCTCTCCATTCCATGCAGGCTGAGCCACTCTCCTTGCGGCCAGGAACAATTACAGAACTTTCTGCCAGGTCCCTTCCAGCCCAAATCACTCCCTGATTCAGATGATAACCTGCAGCATCAGACAAGACAAGCTTTATTCTGTGACCTTGGCCTCAGCCCCTGTCCTCACTCGGCAAAGCACATGAGCAAACCCCCTCTCTCCATCCCTCCTGTGCTATGAATTTGCTTTCTGCTTCCAGCAGCCGACTTCTCTCACTGTCCAACCTCACACCACGCCTCATCAGCCAGGATATTTCCTTACACTTCCTGTGTGTGGCTTCTTTCGCCGTCATGCTGTCAGTTCCTCTCCTGGCTTCACTGACTAAGATACCCATCCTCTTCCTCCTAGATTCCCTTGCTGCTGGGAAAACACTTCTGCTTTTGTGGTGTTGTTGCACCATTTCCAGCATCACTCCACACCAGGGCTGTGTCTGAGCCCAGGTGTAAGGCCATGAGGTTTCCCGGGGTCTGCAGGGACCACCACCAGCACATGGCAGTGCCTCATGCAGCTCAAGAAAGGCAGAGGATACAGGGATGAAATATTATCTCCGCTCCAAAAGGTCCGGTGGTTCAAGTGCTACAGCAGGCTGGGGCTAAGGGAAGAAACATTAAAGGTATCTATTGGCAGCCAGTGCAGAAAAAGTGCACCAGGGTGCTCCATCAGCTTGAGGGTGGGCTGCAGGATGCTGGGGTGTCGCGTGCCCTTCCCAGGAAGCTGAGCAAGGTGCTTTGCGTGTGCCTGTGTGACCTGTGAGGAACAGCCTGGGCTGTTGCTGGCAGCAAGGTGCCAGGGAGGAGAAGAAGGTGTGTTGGTTACACAAAGGCAGGGCTAAGGCTGGGGCATGAACTGCCCAACCTGCACGGCAGTGTTTCTGAGGAAGTTACTTGTGAAATCCAAGCATGTACTGTTGCTCCCTCACACGAATCTAATTATTTAATTAAGCTTCCGAATAAGCGGCCACTACATTTTGCAAGCACAGTGCCTACTCTGCTGCCGGCTAAAATGAGTCAATTTGAAATGTTTTTTTCTGCTTGACATCAGAGGGGAAAACAGTAGCCCAAATTCAGACAGACTTGTGGCTCTCCCTCCTCTGCAAGTGCTCTGTGCGGACTCAGGCAGCTTCAGAGCACGATCGCTGGGGGAATTCGGGTCACAGTCCCCAAAACGTGTGGGTGCTCCCTGCACAAGCCCTTCTGCAGCCAGAGCAAGCACTGGGTTTTCCTGTGCAGCAATTTGGAGGAGGCATGAGGTGTTCCTGGGGGTCTGGCAGCCCCAGGCAGCAGAAAGGACCAGGTGAGGAGACCTCACCTCACCCTCAGCAGCAGTGGTCCCGGATGCCAGCTGGCACAGGAGACAAAATTCTGGAACAGGAGCACCAGCACTTACAGTTCGCTGCCCTGTTGTCCGCTGGAAGTAGTCCTGCACATCTTCCATCCCGGTGATGTCCACCACCTCCAGGTGTCCTGGCAGAAAGTTAAATTTCTGCATCAATGCCACGGCATTCCTGCAGTACGGGCAGGTTCCCTTTACAAAAAGGGTGACTTTGTCATGTCGGATTTTGCTGTTCACAAAGGCATCGACCATGTTGCTGGGCAGGAGCAGGAGCAGCGCCCCTCAGCAGCACACTCACAGCAAGTGGGACAGCAGCCGTCCGAGTCCCAGATATTTATGGGCTGCACCCTGCCTTCCTCCCAGAAAACTCCTCCCCAGGAGGATGTAATCTCTTACAGACCCAATCACATGCTTAAAACAGCAGCAAGACTTCCACTTTCTATACATTTTGCCAGAAACCACAAGCCGGTGAAATAGCTAGTGGTGTAAAAGTAGGCAGACAAGTATCAAGTGCTGTTACAAGGTTTGCTGTAGTTTCTCATTAACAAATGTTCTTGCTGAAGATGCATTTTCTCCATTGCCTTTCTGCCCTTTCAAGGGTTTTGTTGTGCCTTTCCTCTCACCTCACACGCTGCAAGACGTGACACTCACCCTGAGGTGACAGCACAGACAACAGGGAAAATTCAGGTAGTTTTGCTATGCAGACTTCCTATTCTACAAGCTAAAAAAAATAAATAATAAATAAATAAAATTTTGTGTGCATGTGTTCTACCTGCAAACTTTCCATAATGGGTGGGTCCCTGTCTGCAGTTCTCAAAATTCCTTGATGACTTGTCAGACTTGCTTCAGCTTTCAGCCTGTGTTTTACTCCAGACATGAAGAGAGAATTGAAACTGTTTGAAGAACCAGCTTCGGAACTGAAAAAAAAATTCCCCAAATATTATTTTAGGAGAGCAGTGCTCAAAAATCATTTTGGGGAAGCTACTAACCACCTCAGTGTGATTCAACACACATTGCACGAAACAAGTAGGTGTGATTTTAAATGCCTGGCTCACAGATAAGTGATGAGACTGAAATCCCTCGGGGGGCTGGAGTTGCCCATGAGGGCACCACCACACCTGCAGGGAGGAACTTGTCATGAGCTTGGCTGTGCCTGGCACTGCAGGATCAGTCCCCCAGGTGGAGGGTGTCCTACACCACCTGCCCCCCTGCACAAAGCCCAATGGATCAGGTCACCTTGAGCAGGTTGCTCAGCCTTGTGTCCATCATGATGTCTCCAGAAATCAAAAAATAAAATAAAATAAAAGTTTTCCTCCTTCCAATTAAATGGAGCCTCCTGCATTTCAGTCTGTCTACATTGCCTCTGGTCATGGCACTGCTGGGAAGAGCCTGGCCCTGCCTTCTTCAACCCCCACCTGGTGCTAAACACATGGGTGAGACCTGCCTGAGCCTCTCTTTCCCAGGCTGGATGGCCTCCTTGCATGAGAGATGCTCTGGTCCCTTCCCACCTTCAGGGTCCTTCACCAGACTCTCCCTAGTATGCCCACCTCTCTCTTGTAGTGGGGGTCCCAGGACTGATCTGCACACGTAAGAAATCCCCTGCAGTAACTTGGGCCACTCACCGAGTGTAAGCACCCTGTGCATGTTTTAGCTATTTACAACATCATCGAGGCTTAAAAGAACAAGAGAATAAATTCAGATAAATTCAGAGAATAAATTAGATAAATTCAACTTGTAATTTTCACCAGGGTGAGGGGAAAAAGCAGCACCAGAACTCCAGAACTACTCCTACTCCGTTTTTTGTTTTTTTTTTTTTTTTTTTTGTTTTTGTTTTTTTTTTTTTTTTTTCTTTTGTTTTTTCTGTTAACCAACCTTGTACATGATAGGCAGACACAAGAGCTCTTCCCCTACCCAAAACACAGCTTACACAGCTTCCCAAATTCTGCTTGCTGCAACATCAGCATTGTAGATGGAAAAATGCGCTATTGTGTACAGAAAAAATGTGTATTCTGAGCTCTACCCACTCTTGTCCAGAGCTGAGAAAGGAAAAGTCAGGCTCTGTATCCTCTTTGTGCACCATGCCACATCTTGCACACCATGCTTGCCAGGCATCGGCTGCGTGCGTGGTACACCACAGAAAATCTCTAGATTAACTTCTCCTGCTTTCAACTTCCTCGCCTAGTAATAAGGAAACAGAAGACTTCTGAGGCCCACTGCTCTTCCGAAATTATTTTATGTGGTAGGTGTGCTTCAGCCTTCATGACAGCCTTCACCTGGTTAAGTACATGATCTCTCACCTTGAAGCTACAGCAAAATTAGGCACTACCTATGCATGTGTTTGTGGACTGCATGTACCAGATTAACAGAGTTAAAAGTTGATGTTTTTTAGGAAAGTACGGTGGATACTTGAGGCATAGAAGCTTGTTTTGCCTAAAGATACTTGTTTGGTCATTTTTTCACAGCTCTGAGAATATCTTTGTTTGAGCATGGGGGGCAACGTGGTGAGATCCAGCCACCCTTTGCAGCACCCCAAGCCCTACAGTTCCTGGTTGCTCTCTGCTTATGTGGCAGCCCTCAGGACTGGCTAAAACCCAAGCCAAAACCTGAGCAAAACCTGGGGGTGTTGGTTTAAGATATTTCAATCCACACCATGGGGTATGGGTTGCGATCACTGCTTGCGGGGCTATTTGGTTATTTGGTGCCTGGTGTCCTGGAGCTATACGCTCTGTGATAAACACAGGCTTCACTGGTACGTGTGTCAAGAGCCTGTAATTGATGAGGTTGTGCAAGGATCAGCTCTCACTTTTCCAGTGCCACCCAGGTTCAGCATCACTTACTTATTCTGGATGTTGCTGCAATGAAAGTGTGAAAATCTCAGAAAGGCTCGCTAATGTTAGATATTCACCTGGGAATGTCTAAAAAGGTGTAGGTACACTTCTTTTGGGGGAAAACCTCTGCTGTGAGAATGCATAAAAATGCATTACTAATGTAAGGACAAAGGGAAGGATAAGTGTAGTGTTAGTCCCATGCAAAGAAATGTGTAAAAATATTAACAGCGTTCAGCATGTACCTGCCTGAGTCTTGATCCTATACAAGCTTGAAAAGTGTCCACAACATTGTCTTCTGGTAATTAGGAGATTATAAATCTGTTAAGCCTTTTTATGAATCATTTATAAATTAAATATGTGCAAGTTATCTCCAGGCTGAGAACATCTGAACTGAAAATTTACTTTCAGTTTAATACTTATATACGTATGTTTGCAGTAAAATGTTTGTTCTTCCTCGTACATAGTGCCCACACACATTCAGATTGCAGTCTGTATTTCCAAGTGGCAGGCTGGCTGGCATATTGAATATTTACATACAGTTCAGAGGCATGAAAGTAACTCTAGAAACCTAGTAGCTAAACATGTCTATCAGGTTGTATAAAAACGTCCACACACATTTCTGTGTATGTGAATGATTAATTTTTAACTTCTGTTTTCTTTGAAATTGATTAAATTTTGGAGTCTTTTGTAGTTGAATGGGAAGGCTGATAGCCTGGGTTTTTACCCCATGCACAAAGAACTCTGACTGAACATAAGGACTCTTACAAGCTGTTAATATAGGAAAAGTAATATTGGAACGGGAACGAGAGGCTTGGGTGCTGCTCAGTCAGTATTTTATGGCAGGTCAAGACGGACACAAAAAGCTTTGGGGATTTAGGTCCTGCACCGCCGACCTGGTGTGACTCCAGGTCGGCCCTGAAAATGGGCCCAAACAGCTCCACCTTGCACCACTGAGCAAAGCAATACCCAAATACCTTGTAAAACATGAACAAAGTGTTGGTCTTCCTGAGCCCTTTCTGCCTGACAGGAGGCACAGAATGGGTGATGATGGTAATGAATTTTCCTCCCAGCAGAAGGAGAATCACAGTCTCGAGCTGGGGAAGATAGGTGGGGAAACAGTGCAGGGGAAATGGATTTTGCAAATTCCAGCAAACTCAGACAATTCCAGTGAAACAGCCACGTGTGCAGAGGGAAACTATTTTTAGCAGTCAGTCGGGGGTCAATGAGTGTCCAAAAACAGTAATGCTGCCACGGTTCCAAAATTGTTTCCCATAAAGCTGGCTTTACACCAAAGGGGAGAGCACACCTGGGATCCCAGCTGCACACAGGACCCACATGGAGAGACAATCTGCACATCTGTAAGGAGCTGTTTCAGGACAGCACACTGATCTGAATCGTTTAGGAGATTAGGAGAAGGCACAACTCCTGTTTTCCTGCACTGTTTTATTTGTAGGATAAAAGGTTAAGCTTCCTAAGATTTTGAAGGAAATGTGGTTTGTGGTGATTGGCAATAGGTGAATATGAAGCATTTGGGAAATCTTTTGTAGTTAAAAGTAATTCATTAGAAATCCAGGTAGGTCTTGTGCTTTGCAGCTCCTTTTTTGTTCTGGCTTCTTTGACACTGTGTGGACATGCTGGTGATGTGGCAGGTGTGAACAGCTGTGTGTATCAGTGAAAACATTCCTTTTAGTCAGGAGTGTAATATTGCTGCCCCTTTACACAGGGACAGCATGGGCACAGCCCGTCCTCAGACTCTCTCCTCCTCCGGTTAGAAACAGATTTTTTAATTATTATTATTATTATTATTATTATTATTATTATTATTATTATTATTATTATTATTATTATTATTATTATTTCAGCAATATAGTGCAACAATTGCCCAGATGTGGGAAATGCAGTAAGTTCTGTGTTTCTCCCAGGGTCAGGAGGGTCCCTTGTGGTTAGGGGCACTACTGGGGCCACTCCAGCAGTGGGGGCTGAGGAAAAGACGTGGGGGAACCGTGGGGATGCTGTGCACCTCTTACAGCATTTGCTAGGACTTCAGCTCTTTTCCTGCTGACCTCTCTCAGCCTCTTATCCCAGGGGTCTCAGAGGTGCCCTCATTAATGCTTTAGTTCTTTGTCATTGCACTGATTGGCACCACCCCCGCAGGGGTGTTTAAGATACTGTATAGATTGATGTGTGAGGTTGCAGATGGAAAAGATCACACAGAAGATGCAGAACGCCAAAATTTACTGTTCTGGGCCAGCAAGGACAACTGAAAATCAAATCAAACCTGGCCTTGTGCTTTAAAAGAGATACAGGATTTTGCACCTGCCCCCTCATGTTTCCTAGTGGAATACCATGTCCTGGCCAGACGTTAATGTTAGGTGGCTAGGTTAGTTTTGATTCCTTTAAGCATTAGCCCAATCCTTAAATTTTGTCCTTGAATTGGATATAGTAGAGAATAACAATAATTTGAAAAATTTTGTGTAGCTGTCAATTTCCTAAAAAAAAAAAAAAAAT